GTGTCGCTAAAGTTTCGTCGAAACGAAGTTACGGAAAATTAATTAACAAACGGAGACGTAACAATACCAATTCTGTAGGCCACAGGAGGTGCATGATGTGGGGTTGGATCCTTTGTGTACTTTAGATGGGTGTATAATATCGAGAAAGTATCTGAACATTGTTGCTTATATTGTCCATTCCACAATGCTACATTACCACCCATGTGGACAAGAGTTCTCTCAAGAAGATAATTCAGCAATCCATTACACTTGTGTTATTCAGAATTGGTTCAAAAAGCATGAAAAAGATTGACCAATTTGGGGATGAACCTATACATGACATTCACTGCCTTAATCATTTTTAACACTTGTGGAGTTGTGGAGTTTATGCCACATTATTTCTAGGCTATCAATATATTTATATATATTGATTTGTTAGTGAATGAAATAATCATAGTTACTTGCAATATTAAAGTAAAATCCAACTGTAGGTTTTTAATAACGAAATGGTACTACCTCCTCTCACCCAAAGCTATTTGATCCTGGTCTGCCCTCTAAGCATTGCTAAAAAATTTCACTACAGTGCACCAGTTTTTATACCCCAGCGATTTCAGAACATGTGCTGATCATGTGACTACTTTCCACCAATTGTACTGCACCATCTATACTGGTGCAGTTAGCTCCCTCTACTATTCTAGAACGATCCTCATTTTCTCGATTGGCATTCTCTTCTCTGTTTCTTACTCACAATCTGCGACAGATTTTACTTACATTACCCCATTGGTTACCTCAGTTGTATTCAGAACTTCAAATAATTGTCTCCTTTTCATTAAAGTCCACACAGGCGGGTTCAATTACTTTAGAAAACCCTTTGACAAAACAACTTATTCTCCTTTATCTCTATTATAACAATACCACTGTGAAACTCACTTTAGATATTGCACATTATTGCTAAACTAACAATCACTCAGTCTAACTTCAATTTCACTAACTTAACATTTTCTGACTTCTTTAAAAATTGCCCATCATGGCTAACCTGCCAATCACTCAGTCTAGATCTGTCTAATTAACTCTCACTTAACTTACTTTCTTGACTTCATCCCTGTATCTGCACGTATTCATAACATGTGACAGAAAAATCTGGAAATATCTAGCCCTCTAGTAGCAATAATATTACATGTAACTAGAAAAACTTAGAAGCTTCAAGTAAGATGATATTAACAATATTACTAAAGCCTAGTACAACAATTAATCTACATACACAACGTACGACTCATTACCGAGTTAGGCAATGAAACTAGTCACAACTATCACTTTTAAAATAATTAACTTTTAACACTCTTGTTATGAAAACTAAATAACCATTAAATATTAAATCATTAAATTAACTAAATAGTAACTCTTACACTAAACAGTCTTGTATATCCAAAATACCATTCATCACTTTTCTGCCTTATGTACAATAATTTGTCTTGTTTTGAGATTTTTTTACTCATCAAAGTTATTAAATATTCTTGGCTTCCTAATTCTTTTAGACAGAATAAATATATAACTTGTAGTCTTCATTAACTGCTGGTTTCACCATCAGCATCATAATTGTATGAATAACCTCTATATACTATAGAACACACAACTGTAGTAGTGGAATACACAGAGAGCAGAATACCTTGTATTATTTATTTCAAGCAGTGCCTGTTGGAACAAAAAAAAACAAGTGTGTCTAGCATCAAACATAATGAATATACATATTCTTTTGTCACACCATTATTTTTGCCACACCATCCTATGAAGGACAGAATCAAAGTTAATGAAAAACTCTTTTTTGCCGTGACAATAGAATTAACATTCCATTGTGGCAATGTAGAGTGACTGGATATTTACACCCACTGTAGAGATATCAAAGCAGTAGTGGACTCTGGACTAAAGGAAAAAATATAAGTCAGCCTTACCAATTTGTAATGACTTTTCTAAGTCTGAAAAAATTCCAGTAATTCACAGGTCATATGGTAAAGGAAGTCAAAATAGTAAGTACTTGATGGAAAGAAAAAGAAAACTAACAATATTCTGATGAAACATTGAGTGTTGGAAAATACATTTTCTTTTAGGAAATTTCAAAATAAATTTTTACCACAAATAATTTTACAATATATAATACATGAAAAGTATGTCACAACTGAATTGGAACATTTTTAGTATAAAAGACACAGTGCAATCATAATTTTCTTTCAGCTTTAGAACATTTGTGTTTTTTATTCAAGTCATTCATGTTTCAACATTTTCTTCTACTTCTATTTAAAAATTTCTAGTTTCATTTTATAAAACCTCTGCTAAAAATGTAGTTTCTTTTGTGACCATTAGTATGCAGTGAAAAAAAAAAAGTCCTTTTAAATCTCATTTCAGCTTTTATGACCAACATGGTTTTATTCAGACCTAACCTTTGTAATTTGGTTAGAGTTTAAGTAAGCATACTGGAGATCCAATTCACAAATTTATGATTGATACGAACATATGTGAACATGAAATTATTTTTAGGACCACTAGTTATTCCTCCTTCTAGAAATCTGTTCCACCAGGAAGCAAAGCTTACTGTTGTAGATACAGAGAACCCCCCCCCCCCCAATTTATACAAGCTGGAGGCTTATGAAATATTTTTATGAAATTATATGAAATATGTTCTAAACTTGCATTTCTATTGCTTGAATACCAGTTCATCAAACACCAAAAGCTACAACATATCCCTGTCAGGTATGGTGTGTGGTTAGTTTCTATCTACATATCTTGTTAAACATAAATTGGCAAATAGGCAAAAGTATTTATAAATCATGTGCTTACTTGTCAGTTTAGGCCAGATGATTTTTTTGATTCTTCATTTTTCTTGAAAGGCGTATATTTATCAAAATATGTAATATATATGTCTCAGGAAAAAAATTCTGACCTAACTACCTTTTTTTTTCAAGGTGTACTTGGAACCACACAATTTTTGTTTTAGATAATCAGCTTTTTTCAGAGCTGTTTTATCTATTAACTTCAATTGTTGTAGGAGTCAATAAGCTCTCTTTTTGTCTCCATTGTTCAAAGACCTCTTCTGAGCCTTTCCTAGACATTGTCCTATCTGTGACTTGGGTTTAGTCTGATGTTTCTTGGCTTATTCATCTTTTCAACCCTAATTTATTTTATTGCTTGCATCAGGAAGATAACGTTTTGATATTTTTGCCTTCAATGCTTCATTTATTTTATTTTCTTGGAAGACTTTATATACAAATTGAGCCTTTGTACATAAAACTTGAGTTGCAAGATAAGGTAACCACTATTTCTAATCTTGACTAATCTTAATTCTTGTTCAAAGGAACTCTTTTTTTATGTCCTGTCAAGGCTGTTTTTGGTTATCTTGCACATACTGAATCTTGTGGGGTCTCAGAAAAGTTTGCTCATACCTTATGATGACTCAACTTCCTGGAATCTTGCTTTGGCTACTGTGTGAGATTAATCTGTCTTGCTTACTGTGATGTTTCCAAACATTTTAAAAGTGAATTTCATGATAAGTCTAATCACATTCACCATTTGGCAATGTCTTTTGTGTCCTGGCCTTAGTACCCTTTATATCATATTCTGCAGGCTGGCACATGGATGAATCCAGATGCATGCTTAAAATTGTATTTTATATCATACTGCTGTCTCTTCCACTTTGTGATTCTGACTACCTAAGATTGTAATAATTTAAACCAGATGAAAACCCTAATAGGTAAGTTCTTCTTTGTTACCTGCTTATCTACTACTTGAGTCCACATCTACATTTTGTATAGTAACACAGGTATCATCACACCACCTTTTTAACAAGTATGGGGGTGTCTGGGGTTGAGGAGTCTATAAAATAAAATAGAAAAGTCACAGTTTCTTCTTTATAGTATGAGACTCCATGTTTGAATGGATTTATCCAGTTGAGACTCTTGCATGCTACATATACTTCTGCAATTGTCCTAGATAATATACCACTCTCTTCACTGGCACTCCATGAGAGGGTGATGCCCTGTGGAAGAGAACAGAGGATGCCATCTGGTGGCTGATGATGCATCAGCAGGTACTTTCCCCACACAACTCTGCATGCTTATCCTTGTGTAGCATTCGAGACATCAGAGATGAGTTGCTCATTCTCTGTATGATGTCTCACAACTCTGACTAGGATGGGAATCAATTTACAATTTTTTTTTCTTTTCTTAACTTTATTTGGCATTTAAATGCCATTGCCCTAGTGTTGTTGAGCCTATTCTCCAATCTGCCTGGGTCTCTTCAATTCTCCCAGAGTGTCCACCAGTTTAATGACTTGGCAAATCTTCTTGGATGTAAGGAGCCTTAGGCCCATGAACACTTCCATTTATTAGTTATTACTGGTTGCCTTCTCTCAGAATCTTCTACAAGAAGTACAGGACAACACATTGCACTGTGATCCTGCATATCTGTTGTGCCACGACATGTAACCTTAAATGAGAATATACATGGTTCCACAGGTACTTACCTACAACCCAAGCCTCCTTTATATGTTACTTGTGTTATTTGAAGGTTGTCCAGGGTAATAAAGTCCCCTGATAAGAATAATGCCTTTCTTTTTAATGGCTCTTTATGATACTGGTCTGTTCCACTTGATTCTCCCAAAAATCCAGTCCACTGATTTTTATACTGGTTCTGGGCTCTACTACTCTAACTCTGCTTGATCATATATGCCATTTGTAGTGGGTCAGGTTATCTTCCTGCCTAAGAGTCTAGTTTCTGGTGAATCAGTGAGCCTTATGACTCTCTCTCTCTCTCCAGTTCCCTCCTCCATCTCAATGTGGGTAAACTGGCTTTTAGTATTTCAGAAGTAAGTCTATCTAATATCAATTATAAGTTTTTTGAATTAAGATGAATTCTGAACATGCACTTACTTCTGAAATATATTCCCACCTACTTCTCCATAACCAGGATATATGTTGTTTTCCATCATGACAACAACTAAAAAAATCTGGATTATGGCAAGAAAGCAAAGCTCGTATACTTTATCCTGATGCATCTGAAATAAGTCATGTGGGAGAACTCTAAGTAAGTTGATGTATGATCTGTATTGTGTCAAGGACATTCAGAAGGAAAAGTGGTGATTGGTGACAGAAAGGAAAGGCTTTTAGTATTTCATAGGCAGGTGCCTTTTGGAAATTAATTTAAACTCTTTAATAAAAAGTTATTAATTTGAATTTTTATTTTATTAGATAGAAATTTGATAACCATATATTATAGTATACTATTTTGAAACCATTTCACAATCAAAAGTATAAGTGAATTGGTGTGAAATACATCTGTGCTTAACATTAATTCCAATAAGGTACTCTCCCTTCGCTCACAAGATTCCTGTTCACTACCTGATGATTTGGCTCGTCCATCATTGGTCTTTTCATACTTTATCTCTCAGGTATGTGATGTTTTGTCTCTTACACCTGTCTCCTATGACCCTAAACCTTCCCTCTTACGTGAAACTTCCTGACCCTATTTAGTCTTTCCCCCATCCCCACGATATTAGGGTTCATGCGGATTGACTTGCCTCTCAACTGTGGGAGGACATTAGTATGCCTAGTCCCCCAAGGACTTTGGATCAGTCTGCACTTGCTTATTATTGGACAGACTTTCCTTTTCTCTACCAACAGTTGTTGGGGTTGGTTCTACCTGTTTGGGGGCAAACCCAGATTACCCTGTCCAACTTACCCAAGCCCAATTTTCTCGTGATCATTTCACTCTCACAACCATGTTAAGGTACCTTTCTTCCCTTCACCTTTTGTCAGAGGCTCCTCACAGGAACCCTGAGGGGGTTTTCTGCTGAAATTCTCTTCATCCTTGCTTCTGCATTGGCTTGTTTGTCGTCTTTGTTTCTCGCACTTCAAATGTGGTTTGTTTGCTGTTGGGACCTATTGGGCTGTGATGCAGTTTTGGCTCGGACTCATCTCCAGGCTCCTTATCTGGTGGACTTCAGCATGATGTCGTTCTTGCAGTGTTATGTGTTTGACTCAGTTACTTAGGCTTTGGAGTCATGGGTGGCCTCAGCCCATCAACATTCTATCCTTACTGACTTGGTAACTCGTTTGTCGCAGTCAGGACCTAGCACAGTACCGATTTCTGTCCCCTTACCTCCCCCTTCCCAACCTCTCCCTGTCCCACCCTCCTGCAGTGCCATGGTTTGACGATTTACTCAATGATGCACAATCCACCAACAGCAGTACCTGTGACTATGTGATCTGTTCAGGCCCAGTGGGGGCTTGTCTATTGAATTTTGCTCATCTGTGAGGACCTTTTCTCGCCGATGTCTGGGTTTACCAGGTGCTCCTGGAGGGATTCGTTATCCCCTTTCTCTCTCTTCCTCCATTATCCAATGTTCCCTTTCTTTTCCCTTCTCCTCAGGATTCCTCAATACATCAGCATCTGTCAGAGGCAGTTCAGGACCTCATCTCACAACAGGCTATTGAACCAGCTCACCAGGTTCACAGGGGTTTTACACCCACCTGTTTGTGGTTCCCAAGAAGACTGGGGACTGGCGTGCTGACATCGATTTATCTCGTCTCAATCAGTATGTTCATACTCCTCACTTTACCATGGAGACATACCTTTCTCTTCTATGGGCATTTTCTCCAGGTCTTTCGATAACCAAGGTGAACAGTTCCAGTATTTATCTACACATTCCTGTGATTGAGCTTCCTGTCCATATCTTCAGTTTGTCCGGGGGGTTGTGTACCAATTTCTTGCCTTACCTTTTGGCCTAGCCTCAGTAACATGCATGTTTTGTCGTGTGGTCCACTCCTTTGCTCGACATATTCATGCCATGGGGTTGCACTTCCATGTTTATATGGACGGCTGGCTTCTTCTTGTTCATTCCAAATGGGAATCGGCCTGTCACACTCATCAGCTCCTGACCAAAGCTGCGCAGGTGGGCTGGTTGGTCAAATTTGAAAAGTCTTTCCTTTGTCCTACCCAATACCTTTTCTTCAACACCCATGTCAGTTGGGCCCAACCTTTTCCTCTCTGGCTCCATTCTATGGATCAGGTTGTTTGGAAAGCCCTGTCTGTTCCCTTACTTACAGCTCGTGAGGTTCTATCACTTTTTGGGATGTGGTCCTCTACGACCCCTCTCATACTCCTTGGCAGGGCCCATATGTGTTTTTTTTTCAATAGGTCCTTCATGATAAATGGATCCTCTTCCCTTGTAGATGATTTCTGTTGTTAGTTGAACAGAACCCACACATCAGCAGGGGTCATGTTTCCTCCTCCATGGCCAGATTTACATCTTCATATATATATACAACTTCATATATGACTAAAATACTGACAAATCTTTGTAGTATTCAGATTAAGTAAATAATATTTTCATTCTCCTATAGGTTCATCCCAATCATTCTTTCTTTGCTGTGGCTGAAAAGGGAAAGAATCCACCAATAGCGATTTTTGATTTTCCATCATTAAATATTTTCAAGATTCTTACAGGTGGAACCAGCAAATCTTATGCCTTTGTTGATTTTAGGTATGAGTGTTTTACATTATTATTCTTATGACTTTAAGCTAGAGACCCTTTTGACAAGTTGAGGATGAAATTTTTAAAGGTTTGTGTGTTTGCATCATGCAACATACACAATTTTCAGGGTAGTATCAGCCATAGGTAACTAATGGATTGCAAAGCATAAAATGATATATCAAAATTTAACTAATTTGTATGAGTGTAATATTTTATATTGAGTATATTGTATCTACTCCTTTATATATTAATTTAAAACCATGGGTGCAAGTCAGACTGAAAGATTGAGTCATTTAAGAGCACTTTCAATGTTTCTCATTCTTCAGCACTTAATGCATATGCCAGAGGAGCAGTTTAGGGTATTTTCTGTAATGCCTCAAATGAATAATACTTATGCCATTCTTCTGTATATCCCTTTAAAGAGATATACAATTGATTTGTAACAGTGTTGTCTTTCAGCTGTGAAACTTATTGTTCAAGTTAGTATTCATATGCTTGTCATCTGTTTATTAATATTGCATAACATAAACTCAAAGTTATTAAAAAGTTGTATCATTCAATTTCAAAATAATATGTGTCTGACACTGAATTTTGTGAAAATTTTCCAAGTATTAGATGCTATATGCTTGTCATGGTGAGTTTTTAACTATATTTCTTATGTTTGAACATTGTGATAGTGTAGTATGCCAATGCTACATATTTTACTGTTCCACGGCATATACTTCATATCTACAAAAACTATGAAATTAATCTTAGTTCTGTTTTGTAACTTACTAAATTCCCTCAATGCCATGTACTAAATTCAGGCACAAGTTTTATCTTCTGTAGCATGTTCTGATCATGGAAGCTAACTACCGCATCATGGGATAGTTGTGTTCTACATAACTTGTGAAAGTTGGACTGCCATACGACTGTCACATGGAATGGAAATACATCTAGATTCTTGCAATCCTATTTGTGGTTGATCAGATGTAGAGAGAATGTTTTAAAGTTCATTTTAGTTTTAATTTGCTTTAATTTCACTGTTATTAATGTGAAAGATGTGTAAGACAATAATGGAATAGCAAATAATTTGCATTTAGTTGTGTTCATTAGACTTATTTATTTCTTCTGCATTTGGTCTTGTGTAAACATCCTATCCAAATATATCTTTACACCTCTCAATCATTATGCAGGTAGAGATTATTCATGTGCCATTATTAATCTAAATCGTAGATACTACAATAGATTTAATATTTAGTAAAAGTATGGAAAAGGTAAACAACACACTTTTTCATTCTCTCTCTCTATGATGAATTCATTCTTTATATTTGATATAACGTATTTCCCTGAAGCCCTGAAGGAGATCTACTTGCTTCAATTGGAGGAGAACCAGATTATTTATTAACCATATGGCAGTGGAAGAAGGAGTCAATTTTATTAAGAACAAAAGCTTACTCACAGGATGTCTACAGAGTAACATTTAGTCCATTCCTTCAAGGTCAGCTTACCACCAGTGGAATGGGACACATAAAGTAAGATTTATGAAATGGCTTTTTTTTTGACAGCCTGCAATTAAAACCTGTTGTGTTAAATTAAAAAATTTTTAATTTTGAAATAACTGAGTTTTGTGTTCTGATATCTTAAAATATATACTCAGAAATATTGATTATTTTTGTATGTACTGTTGCAATACACAAGGCTGCATTGAGCCATTTATTTATTTCCTATATGTTATCTGTGGTTCCTGAAGTATTTAAATTTTTACATTTATAACCTTTTTATTGGTTTTTACAAACTCAGTGGGATATTGCATAATTCCCATCTTTTTTGTTCCTTGTTGTTTTCTGCCAAGAAATATTGTTGTTATCATTGGATCTTGTATTGTTTTTTTTTCTGTATGATAGATGTATTTAGTTTAAACTTTCATGAGGAGTGACACTGCTGAACGTAGTTGATTTTAATCCAAAGGGTTGAAATGTACATTAATATTTAATCTATTGTGTCTATACACATATTTGACATTTAAAATGGTTATGGAAATAAGTATTGTTAATAAAATTCATTTTTGTTACAAGTTCTATTATTCTTGTTTAATTACTATCCTCAAACATTTGGTCATCTGAATTATTTTAGGTTTTGGAAAATGGCACAAACCTTTACAGGATTGAAACTACATGGAGAAGTAGGAAGGTTTGGAAAAGCTGAAATATCAGATATTCACGGTTACATTGAATTACCTGATGGAAAGGTGACAATCAAATGGGCTGACTAAAAATGTTTATATTTTTAACTATATATAATATGTCTATATAATATGAATTTAATCAATGTAGTTACTGGCAAAATATAGTTTTATACATACCCAAGAGTCATGCTCCTTTGTGAGTTAACTAGTTCCTTCTCTGTAAACAGAAGTTTGTTGCAAAAACTGAAATATCAAATATTCATTGCTATATTAAATTACCTGATGAAAAGGTGAATATTAAATGGGTTATAAGAAACTTTTACATTGTTAAGTATATATATATATATATGATAAGTATTTAGTCAATGTAGTTACTGGCAAAATAGGGTTTTATAATACTCAGGAGGTGTTTTCCTGTATAAGTTAACTGGTTCCTTCTCTGTAAGCAGACGTTTGTTGCATTATAACTGACTATGTAGTATGCAAAAACTATATATTTAACCCTCCTATAATATATATATATATTTCATAGTTGAAAAATTTTTAGATTCATTTAAGCTCTGTCTTGAAACGTCTTAAATCTAGTCAAGGTCTTGTACAGAATTTAACCTTAGGTGTTACTTTGCCTAAGAGTTTCTGTTGCAATATATCTTTCACAGAAATAAAAAAAGAATTATTACTGTCCAAAATATATATATAAAAAGAAACATTAGAAAGTAAATTATGTGGAGTTTCCTGATTGTGAGAAAAACTTGGTTATATTTGCAAAAAAAGCTTATGTTGCACAGAATTTATTCACCAAAGTGAAAGAATAATCATCACTAGCACAAACATAGAAAAAATAAGAAAATGTTAGAAAACAAACGTCATGAGTATTATCACTGAGAGTACATTAAATCATGTTTTGGAGACTGGAGAAAATTGGGTCAAACAGAATTGATATTAAAAATTGGGACCATAAAATCTCATATTTAATGAAGATATATAAGAAAAATTCCTCAGACATATTCTTGAGTACTCTGGTATTGGGTGAGATTCAGTCTCCCATCAGCTTGGAAAGAGGTATGGTATCAGCTATCCAGGTCACAAGAATGTTAAAATTAATAACACTTGTGTGAAATTGTGAAGTGAATAAAAAACTTGTAAATTCATATACATGTGCTGAATGAATAAAAAAAATTATTATGTTTCTCATTGGACAGGGAGGGCATCTGCCCTTCCTGCTGACACCCATGGTCACAGCTGTATCGAGGGGGGTTGGTAGGTAGAAACAGTAAATATATAAAGTCAAATATAAAAAAACTAGTTGAAAAGTCCAAGACATATTAAGAAACATTTGATAATACTAAAGAGTCAAAGGTAAATATGAGTATATAAGGATGATTTTCATATAATGTCATGAATTCTCTCAAAAGATAATTTAATGACTTGATTTTCTTCTATGTAGGTTATATCTGGATCAGAATCTGGATTATTATTGTTATGGGATGGAGCTTTGATTAAGGCTCAGATTCGTCAGAAAAATGGAAAACCTTGTCATAATGGTATCATATACCAGGTTCTACTGGAAGAAGGTGAACTGTATACCATAGGATCTGATGGCTGGATAAAAGTGAGACAATAGTATAAGGTCCAGCTATTATATGCAAGAAATGATTTGGTTGTTATTAAAAATATTAAACTTTTTTATGATGACTTTAGAAAATTATACATATTAATAATTTGCATACAGTGCATTAAAAATTTAAATCAACATGTATAAAACTTGAAAAGAAAATTGCAATTATTATATAAAAACTGAGATCTGGCTCATTTTATCTATTATAGTGTATTTACATATGAAAATAAACAACGTGATAAGTCATTTTAATCCTTCATTTGCTATTCCAAGAGCTCATGAAGTATTAATTGTGACATCCATCCACCAGAGAAATCTGATACTTCATAGTTTACCATAGCAATGGTGAAAATGGCTATGATTTCAACTCCCACACACTGTCCAGAGTCGTGAAATTCCATGATCGGAGAAGATAGTTTATTCGTGTTTCCTTATGACAAAGTTATACTCTTGCAACATTGTTTTTCAACATGCTGTCATTGTTTTCAGTTTTTTTAATTCATTAGTCACTTCAGTGAGGCATGGTTCACTCAGATACTGAACCTCCTACCTTACAAGTAGTGTTAGAAGTGTTTTATAAAGACAACATCTGCAAACAGTTCTATCTCCATTTTACGAATCTAAGTTTGGAAGCCATAAGTGTACATGATTAGTCATTCTACTGCATTCTGAAACTGAAATAAAATTGTCCCAATTTTGTCATAACTGGTGGCAGTGTCTAACAGGAAATTGTTGTTTTTACATGGATAAGCCAACACTGTAGTATCCACAGAAAGGAGGCTTTAGGGATCTGAATGCTTGGTAACATTTCTTGTTCTATCTAATGATTGTCTCAACTTTCTTGACAGCAGACAGTGATGCAACTATATTGGAGAAGTTGGCTATAAATCATTAGTAATATGATGAGAAACCAAGGAAGATGTGGATTTCTTGCTTGGTCACAGTTTGAAGCCAATCTCTTACTGCAGCTATTTTAGCCAGGACCGTAGAGACTCCTTCTTTCTCCCTCCATAAGCAAGCACTTTCCTGATGTCACTTTCAAGCCTGCTTTATTTATCCACAGGAATACCATTTTCAGGTTTTCAACTGTAGACTCATAGGAGTGACAAAACATTGTCAGCATAGACCAGGCATCTCTCCTATTGCAATCCTTTAAGCATAAGTTCCATTAGCTTCCCCAAAATGGCAGGAATGGTACACAAGTAGAATGTCATGATTCAGAATTCATACAAACCATTTTTCATGCTAAAAGCAGTATAAGGTTCATTTGTGGTAAAGGGAAGGCATAAATGCAAGTTACTGTCTTCACACTTCTAAAATCAACATATAACCTTATGTTATGTGCTAGGACACTTTGTTGGAAGAAATGATGCAATAAACAATCTTCTAAAACATTGAAATCAATATAAGTAGATAGCATTGTGGCATATAAACATATCATGTTTTTCTATTTCCTTCTAACATTATGGTATATATATTCTGAATTTATCACATGTTCTGTATATGTGTGCAGCTTTCACATAATGCATGGGTGAGAAATCCATTAAGCTGATTTCGTTCTAACTGCCTTTGTTCCTTTGTTATCTTCACGTAGATAATACCTGTTCTGCTCATGCAATATATTGTGAAAGGATGTTAAAACACATGTCTTTGAAAACACCAGAATATTGTAACACTTCACATTTTCACTATAGCTTGGCCAATCACAAAGAGGAATTCTAGGAATTTGGCATACTTCCATCCTATATTATAGTTTCACCCATGGAAGGCTGGTCACAGGACTTACAGGTTCTGAAATATCACTCAATAAATTTAAGAATTGGGTTTTTTGAAATCTAAGTAAATATGGAGGAGTTCATTATAAGATAGCTGGTTACCACATTCTGTTTTCTGCATTCTGAATTTTGTGTTTTTTGGGAGTTTTTAAGTATGAAAAGTGCTTGATAACATACCATGTAACAAAAAATTTCAAAACATTTTGCAACACACTACAAGAAGTAAAACCAAAGTCCTTCTGTTTGTAGTTTATAATGTTATTTCTACACTTGAATAATTGTTATGATCTTTATATTCTTCAATTCTGTAAATATTTGCAGCTTGTATTATTTTATTATACATAGCATTTTGTCAAATTTCCTTGCAATTTGTACAGACTTTAGATAACTCGTTTATGACAATCCAAAAACTTTAGGGGGTAGTCTTTTCATTATCAGAAGCATATTTTACCTTTGATGAGGAATTTAGAGTTAAATCCTTTTTATATCTTAATGCACATAGGGCTAGTTGTGCTTATCTTTGGCTTCCTGTGACACAAGCAGATGAGTATGTTTTTGCATTTCCATGAATGGGATGCCAGTCCATTGCAGATTACTTCCCAGCTATTAATTGATGCCCATTTTACAACTGATTTAGACAGAGGCAAACTTTTGATTAAAATGTCATGCTAAAGGACACAATGACTAGATGTGGGTGAACTTTGAAGCTGCAACCTTTCAATTGTTGGTCCAAAGTGCTAATCACAAGGACATACCACCCTAATGAAGAAGAGACCAACTTTAAGAGTTACTTCAGATGTTTAAGTAGATTTCAGACTATTGTAATTATTTTGTTGACTTACAGTGCTTTCTTAAGAAATGGAGGTTGTTTATTTGTCTGTGTAAAATTTGAAGACTTTTGGTGATACATACACTGAGTGGTCACAAGTAAATAGACACCTAATTTTTCGTCATTTAACTGATTTATGCTAACTAATTTGTGTTCACAGAGCACTATATAAATTAAAATGGTCCGCACACTAATTATCTTGTGCTACAACATGCCTAGAACTCAAGGTTCTCTCGATTTGTCAGATTTTGTTAGAGGAAGGATAGTTGGTCAAGCAGATGGTGGAATAAGTCAGTGGCAAATTTCGCAGAATTTGGGAATCCCAGTTTCGACAGTCAACAGAATCATCGTGCAGTTCAGGAAACACGGCAAGGAAACAACTGAGCAGCGTCTGGGTCATCCTGGTCCATTGGAGAGGACAAAAAGGACTGTCAAGAGGAGCACCGAAATGGATCCCAGATTAACGACTGCAGAAGTGGCCAAAGTCAATGGGATG